TGTAAGACCACAAGACGAGGGTGACGCTACTGTCCTCATCATGCTTGACTATACAAAGGCGTTCGACATGATTAATCATGATATTTTAGTGTCAATTTTAAAATATATTGGGTTTATTGAGGCTGCTTACTCACTGGGTCTATCGGTTAAAAAAGATGATAATCTTTTTTAACCGATAGATACCAAAGAGTGATTTATGGAGGAGATCTTTCAGAAACACTTTTAATTACATCGGGGGTGCCGCAAGGCAGCATCCTGGGTCCTCTTTTATATAGTATTTATACTTTTAACTTTGTCAACTCTCTTAAGCACTGTAAATATCATTTATACGCGGATGACACGCAAATATATACCTCTTTTTCTTTAAATCAAGCTGAAACTGTGGATATCGCGTTAAACTCTGACCTGGATAACCTTTTAAAAACCGCTAATGAACATTTACTCCAAATGAATCCAAGTAAATCTGTTGTTTTATTGTTCTGTAACGAAAGTGTTCGCGATCAACTAACACAGCAAATAACACCTAAACTAGGTAACAATAAAATATTATTTAAAAATAGCTATAAAAACTTAGGGCTAATTATAGATACAAAATTGAAATTCAAAGAGCATATCACATCATGTATGAACAAGGCATTTTCAATGTTGAAATTAATTTATTCACATCGACATTCACCATCACAGAAAACCAAATCTATACTTTGTGAAACTCTAATTTTATCACACTTTAATGTGTTTATTATTATTTATTATTATTATTTATTATTATTATTATTATATCCCTTGTCCAAGGAAGACATGCAGTTCTTAGCCAAAAACTACCCTGACAAGCAGGGCAAGATAATACCTTATCTAACGGAAAATAAGCATGGTATAGATTGGGTGGATGGCCTCTTAATTAGAAACAAATCCGACATTTGTAAAAGGGTCGCTGCAAACAAAAGAGCTAGAGCTACAGTCAGCGAAGCGTCGTTGAAAGAATATTTCAATAATTTGGAAGCAACAATGGAAAATGTCCCTCCATCGCATTTATTCAATTACGATGAAACAAACATGGCGGACGATCCTGGAAAGAAATTTAAAATTTATAGACGAGGTGTCAAGTACCCCGAACAAATCTGTAACTTTACCAATTCTGCTACGACAATTATGATATGTGGATCGGCTTCAGGTGTACTACTTCCGCCATACATAATATACAGATCCCAAAGATGTGGAATACTTGGACGGAAAATGGTCCAAAAGGTAGTCCTATTTTCAAACTCAACTAACACTGGTGTTCTTTTTGAAACCCCATAGATTTTTCAGTGAATTTTACGTTGCAAGAAACTGTAATTTTTCTGGTGTTTGTTTTTAGTAGTCTGTGATTTGTTGAATTTCTATCATAACCAACAAAAATTAGTATCTCACTCTTTGGTTCGAGTTTCCTCCTTCTTTGGTCGGGCTGATGTGCATAGGCTAAACAAGCAAATATTTTGATGTGTCCAAGATACGGCTTTTCATCTGTCCAATCTCCAAAAGGTGTTTCCTGAATTTGTTTCGATGGTACTTGGTTTAGGAGATAAACTACAGTGTTTGCAATTTCTGCTCAGATATAATCGGGTGCACTTGCACTTATCAACATGGTCCTGACTTTTTCTATGATAGTGTGATTCTCTCTTTTGATTCTTCCATTTTGTTCTGTCTTCCATTCTATACCTTCTTTCTTCAAATATTCACAAAATTCATGACTTATGTACTCACGTCTATTATCTACATGTAAAGCCATAACTGAGTGTCCAAATCTTGTTTTTACTTTGTTGTTATATTCGGTGAAGCAATCAAATGTATCACTTTTATTTTTTATAAAATAAACTACTAAATAACCTGTGCAACTGTCCTTGAAGAGTAGTATGTATCGAGCACCTGAAGCTGATGGAGTTTGAAATGGTCCACATATGTCACTGTAAACCAATTAACCAAATTTTTCTTCACCATTTCGTTCAAATATTGAACATTTATGTGTCCGAATCTTCCATGCCATATTTGTAGGCTACTATTTTATTTTTCTGTAACATTGAGTTTACTGGTTTGTTCATACTTGGTTCGAAAAAGCATTTTATAGAGTTTATTTGAGTCTTGTTGTATTGAGCAGGCAACCAGCTGATTTCTGAGATATATATTTGCCTTATCAGACTCTTTAATGATTTTCAACTCCTGATACTAAACTTTTGGTTAAACTTGGAATGTAAAGCACATAATTTATTGATGAACTATACCTACAATTTTCCTTCGATAAGCTTTTCAATGTTTACAGTACCTTTTCCTTGCACTTCTAAACTTTTACTGTTTCCCAGGATAACATTTAAAGGACTTGTTAAAATTTCAAGTTCAGCAAAGTATTCTTTCCTGCTAGTCACCACTATCTAGGATCCAATCACTATTTGTCACCAAATTACATTCTTCATTTTGTGTAACAAAAGCAGTTTCATTTTTCCTATTTTTTACTTGTTTTGGTGCTCCGCAGTCTTTCGCCATGAGTCCACGTTTGTTGCAATTGAAACTATTAGGTCGCCATACACACACGTTATTTCGTGCGGTTTATCGTGGCGTGTTGGGATGTAGCGGTTTGCATGCGCGAAAGAACGGCGTGGCAAAAAAAAGCGTCATGTTCCACACTTGACAAAGTATTCAAATGATTTAGCATGTGATTACGCGGGACATATCAGTTTCAAAGGAAAAATCGAATGTTTATATGGGCAAAAAGTGTCATTTATCGTGTCATTTGAAAGTGCATGTGGTCATGTACTAATTTTCAACGTGATAGCGTTCCTGTTCTCGTACTAGCCTCAAAACTGTGACGTGGAATGGCGTACGCGTACGTGAACTGTATACTATCATGGGGTGTGAACTGTATCATGTAACTTGAGTACTGACACCACATTCCAGATGAAAGCACATGTAAAATCTCTTCCCATTCTATCATTGCGTATGCAGCCCTTCTTACTCACGCACATGATTTTTCACAGGTTTTTGCAGATGACACGATACACCGCGCGAAATAACGTGTGTGTATGCCGGCCTAATGAAAAGGGAATCGTTTTTTATTATCTTTTTTATTCTGATGTTTTTGTTTAAACATGACTGCCAGGGCTGTGTCTTCTTCTTGCATAGTACCTACTTTAACTTCTTTCTTCGTCAAGTAATCTGTTAAGTTCTTGATTGTCTGTTTCGTTTCATCCATAGAAAACAAGGCTTGTCTTACATTTCGATAACTTTGTGGCAAAGTACTTAGAATTTTGGTTACTATGGCGGTGTTACTTATATCATCACCACAATATTTTATTTGTTGAGCTAAGTTTTCTATTTTCACTATGTGCTTAGCAATGGAATTATTTGTCATCATTTTATATTAATGGAAACTTTCATGAGCCATAAATTTGTTAACTTCTGATTTCTGCTTGTAAATTGCATTTAATTTGTCGATCATTTCTTTCGAGGTTTCACAATTTTCAACAAGTGCAATTTGGGACAGGGCTATTGCTGACGTCACAGTAAACATAGCCTGTACATCTTTACGTAACTATGTTTCTAGTTCTTGCGTTCGATCTGGTGCTGGGGCTGCTGAGGTTCTATCTACCATCCCATACAGACCTTTTGCATGTAGAGCACATTTCAGTTGAAACATCCATTGGTGATAATTTTGCCCATTAAACTTGATAATAGAACTAACATCAATCTTGTCTGCCATTTTATTTTCTGGGCATCTGTTATTCCAACACACTGTGCAGTAGAATCACAACTTTCGCGTTTCACTGGTGAACTGGGCTAATAACCTTTTAGAGTTTAAGGTTTCTTATAATCAAAGAAATCTATTAAGCATGAAAACTTGACTGCAGAAGCTTTCAATAGTGAATTGAATTAAAGAAAATTACAGGAGCAAGCTACGCTTCTTGAAAAACTATACAAGGACTATATTTCACATTTGTCAAAAACTAAAAAAAACTATCAAATCAAACTGAAAGTATTATACAATACATACTGAAATAAGAGAAATACACAAATTTAAATATTTCCAATAGGGAACCATACGAAAATATACAAAACTGTATGATTATTTAAAAACTGTACATAGGAAACTGTAGGATTATTCAAAAACTGTACATAGCACTGAATTCATACTAACATGGAAAGGTTGAGGGGGTGGTCAGAAACAGGAAAATACCAAGGGTGTACACTTGATCGACCTACGAATGGAGAACCATATGAAAATATACAAAACTGTATGATTATTCAAAAACTGAACATAGGAAACTGTGAGAGTCTTAAAGTTTTACTTGAAAAATATATGAAAAATCTACCTCAAAAGTGGTTACCTATTTTTAGGAATCACTCCAAAAGTTAAATAAATTTTGGAAACTCAATATGAGTCCCGCCATCTGTGGATCAACGTACAGATAGTGGCTCCGTATCTCTGTCTTTATCCTGCTGTTGAATTCTAGACTGAATAATTTTTGCCTTCAGGCAATTTATCGATTATCCTATAGTCAACCATATAGGTATATCTTTAAAAAACAAATCTTGTTTCAAAATTTCCTATTGAGATGCTCCATCATCCGCCAAGAGAAAACGAAACTGCTGTTTAAACCATAATTTAGGTACTAACATAATTTTCCTTATAGAAAAATATTAACACCTTGCACGAATCAATTTTTTTTTTATTCACCTTCTCTTTTAACTTTTCCTATTTTTTGCCTTTCATTATTATTTCCACTCAATCTATCGATCTACAAAAGACTCTATGGAACTTGTTGACAAAGCAACGCTTCTCGTGTTGATACTCTTCGGACACGTTGGAACAATGACCACTTGAGGCGTCTCTTATTTGAATAAAATTTTGAAGTATTCTCTCGCACCGAATCAAGTGAGAATAAGCATAGATAAAACCCTAGGATACACCGGGATCAATAAGGGATGGAAACCCACATGCCTATGCGCATGCACACTACAACAGGGGGAATCTTTATGTATTATAGGAGGAAATTACACTATAATTATTTTATCTATATGTTTCAAAGCAATATTTTTTCAAACAACTCATTTTTCAAGTTACAATATTTCTTTGATTACGATTTCTTTGTTTTATTAAAAAAGTTACAGTAGAAGTCTTGCCGCTTCTATAGAGAGCGTGATTTTCCATTCAGTGTTGTCGTGGAAATGCAATGAGAACGTTCGTTTGCTCCAGAAAATTGAACAAAGACGTAATTTTTCCAAGCAAATCGCTAAAATGATTTGGAAATTGTTGGTGTTTGAACAAAAGAATTTTCGTAAAAGGTAGATTATTATAAAACTGGCGAAGCGGGTGAAAACACTGATGTTTCAGGTATGTCACCAACTCAAGCTGCGTAATCTACTAAAACTAATTTATTATTATTCCTGATAAAATGCATGTCTTTTTTTTAGGGCAAATGGCGCCTTTGGAAATTAAGCATATCCATTTTAGTATTTCTGACAGCCTACAACATTTATCTCACAGTCCGTTTGATGTATTCCTCAACTTGCGTTCAAACATCGCCAGATTCCGTATTAGAAGCCAGCTTGAAAATAGAACCTCCTGAATGCGCTCATAACCGTAAGTCCATTTTTCCCTGTTTTGTTTTTCATAATTATTGTTTTTTTCTAGAAAATTTTCCTGTCACCAACACTAATAATGCACCCAAACCACTGCTGACATCAAAAAGCAATAAAACGTTAGAAACATTAACAAACATTTATAGAAATTTACAGCTCAACCAACAGTATTCATTGAATCTCAATTTGGGATTAGGAAGATCGGATAATAAATTAGCATATAAACTGTTTGACAATATTATAGTTGGAGAAAGATATATTGAATTAACGGAAGCTTATAAGACTTCTTTGGCCGCTCAGAGTTCCTTGGACAAAATAGCATCACTAATAGAAAGTAGTCTCTATTGGGGTAAGAAATAGTACTAAATTGTTTAAAGCAAATAATAAAACTCGCTTTATAGGAGGTCCTATATCTTTAGCTGTGTTTGCTGGAACCGAAAAAGAACTAAACCATCTTTTGTTGTATATACTATATTTAAGAAAATGCAATACAAGAATTAAGGAAAAGGTTTCATTTCATTTGGCAATACCTAAGGAGAAGGGACCAAAGACGTACGTAATTGACGAAGAAAGACTGGAGAAGATGGACTGCGGAAATCCCATGGGGGTGCTTCATGGGTTGTTGAAGGAATTGACCAAAAGGGTAAGTTCAATATTGAACTTCACTTTTCAACAAAGAAAAGCAAAGAAAAACAAAAGTTTCCGAAATATTGCTTTTTTTACCGGGACATCTTCTATCGTTAAACAGGAGTTATGAAATCAAATTCAAAGAATGGAAAACTTAGCTTTTCTCAGCAAAAATACGATTCTAAATATTCTCTTCAATTGCCAGTTAGTGACAGAATTCTTGGTACCTAATTTTTCTGATACCTCAGTCAGGATCGTGTATAGGAAGTAATTTTGAGCTCAGTTCACTTTTTCAGTTTTCGGCATTCTAGAGATCTTGATAGTATTATTAAGTCTCTCCTTCTGGGTTTCATTAATGGCAAATTGTTCAACTAAAAGAGCCAATTGGAAACTGCGAGAGTAGCTTAATGCCTTATGATCATTCGAAATTTTAATTATTATCGGCTCTTGAGCTTTGTTCTAAGCTAAGCAAGTTCCCTAGCGAATTCAGAGTTAATAAAAGTTCAAATTTGACTATCACGGGCTCTTGATTGGCTCCAGGAGAGTTTTCCCGAGAATCAAGAGCCGGTAAAAATTCAAATTTTGATTATCTGGCTCTTGATCCATTGCAGGCTCCTAAGCATGGCTATATCCGCTTATGCATATCCCCGCCACTGCGTGTTTTTTTTTTTCCTGTTTGGTGAAAGTGGTGAACAGGTGAAACGATCATCTTCTTTCAATTTTTCTCAACGTTTTCTCCAGCAGCTTGTTCTTTTTTTTCCTCCTTATCGTTGCATATTTCATTGGGATTACAAGTCTTATAAATATCACAGATAACTTGCTCTTAAATAGTAGGTATTGAATAAAAGATTTTACATCAAAAACCCGTTAAACTATTCCAGTACTCGGTCCTTATCAAGCTGAAACTGGATTGAAGCTTTGATAATGGGGCCATTATTGTTACTTTGTATATTTTTCCCAGAAACTTGGTATTTTTGGAAATACCAAATATTTGTTCCAAGTATCTAGCAACCTCTAACGTAATCCTAAATTTTATAATTTGAATTTCACTTTTATCCATAATAATATCCAGTATCGAGTGTAATTATTAGTGATATCGTGTCTACAAAACAAGAGACATATTCCATTGACATTAACCCACAACACCCTTATTGACTACTAAAAATCAAACAGATAGTTGTTAAAACATGAATTTTTAATAATTGGGACAGCTATATAGTAAACAGATGTCAGATCTGAACCCCCAATTGACCTAGTTTTTTCAGTTTTGTGACGCCATTGCTTTTCGATGTTATTTGAGCTCTCTATATCAATTTTTGGCTCAATTTGAAGGACCTTGTGTAAAGATCCTTGACTGTCTGGGGCCTGTTTAAACCAGCCATTCGTCTTGGAACTGGTTATTGGACATTCTGGTATTGCCAGGACCCACTTCTGGTGAGAAGAAAGTATCAGTCCAAGCCCCTGCCGCTCTTTTAGTATAAATACTATAGGCATAATAATTTTTTGTTAGAATCTTATTTGTGTATTCACCTAGCTATATTTTCTCTTTCTTATAAATTTTATTAAAATTTTCTTCTTTATTTTCAGGGTATTCACGCATGGAAATACAAAATACCATATCCGCAAAACCTTTTGAGAAACTTAGCCAGAAAGAATTGCCACACAAAATTTTTATTTCTGACTGATGTCGATATTATTCCTAGTAGGGGTATGGCGGAACATTTGAACGCATTTCTTGGTGAGTATAGAAATCAATCAAACTGGAATAACATTGTAATTAACTTACAATAATGTCTATTCCAGAATCCGAAAAATGTGATGGAAAGTGTGCCTACGTCGTACCAACGTACGAACTAGACGAAAGAGTATTATTCCCGCCGAATAAGACTGACTTGATACGAATGGCCAATAAGGGTTTAGCTCGACCTTTTCACCACAAAGTATTTATTTACAACCAGTACGCTACGAATTTCAGTAGGTAATATTCATTTTGAAGCATTTTGCTAGTCGTTATTCAATTGATTTTGAACTTTCAGATGGCAAAACTACACAGATCCAGACGATAAAGTGAGAATCAGCCATCCCGTTACTAATTTTGAGTTCCTGTATGAACCTTTCTATATTGCTACGGATAGTGTTCCTCCTCACGATGAAAGATTTATTGGTTATGGATATACTAGAAATAGTCAAGTAATTACAAGACATAATAATAGTAATTATAATCTTAGATAATAGTAGGTATACAATACACAAAACCTGAATGGAGAAACTAGAAATGTATTTCAACACAAGTCAACCATAGGGTTACTGATAATTTTTGAAAGTGATAATTATTTTTGCCTCCTAACTTTGACATATATTAAAATTTTTGTTGGAAAACTTAAATAAAATAATAATAATTATAGTGTGTGCCGACCAGGCAGCGTAGTAAATAGTGATCTGCTTCGCATGTCGATGGTCCCGGGTTTGAGCCCGGCTAGGTGCATGGTTGTATTTGTGAATGTTTCTTCCTCCACATGAAATTATTATCTATTCAGAATCCGATGACCAAAGGTAAAGGTAAAATGTATCACCTTTCAGTGCTATTTGACAGGGAAAGGTTAATAATTTACCTTTACCTTTGGACTACGGATTGTGAATAGGACTACATTGTATTTGTAGAGTGTATCCACAAAAAAGAAAGTGAAGTTATTATATCTACCATATTGTTAGCTAAATAAATGCCTTTAATGTTTATAAATGTTTCTATTTTCCAGGTTTATGAAATGTACGTCGCAGGATACGAATTTTTTGTCCTTTCTCCCATCTTCACGTGCCACTGGGGCCTCCAAGTGAAGAAATCCCGGCCCCCATGGAGGGAGCACCAAAATAACCAAAACAGGAAGCAATTCGACCATTTCAAAAAAGAAATCTTCGCCCGGTATAATAAGGATCCTTTAAATATGATGGCTGGTAAAACTTAGTGAATATTGTTTTGTTTTATGTTATATTTGTCTTCGCTTTTTTTGTACTTTGATTTTTTATACTAAAAAAAAAATGATAAATTTTGTCTTTGTGTTTTTTTTTTTCTCCAAAAAATATGATCTTCTAAAAGTTACCCCGTATACTTATCATATTGTTACATTTTTTATCTCAAGCATACACTACAGAATATTATATTTTAATCGGTAGTTCCCAAACGTAATCAAAATTAAAAATCAAAATAAAATACCTACTGCACAAAAATAAAAACATAGATATACAGATAACATAGAAAAGCAATCTCAGTTAAAGTCAAGCCGCATAAAAATTCTGATAAAAACAGATAATACAAGAAATGAATAGGAGTTGCAGTTAAAAACACATAAACATTATCATCTCCCTGATTTGTGGCAGGGAGTACCAAGTTAGAAATATCATAGTCGTAGTTAGTTAACCACCAATCTGTTGATGAAAGCAGTTTGGCTATAGTTGGTACGATGTTAGCCTTCATAAAGCAGTTTATGTTGCCTGGTGCGTCTTAAGGGAACTTTTAAATGTAGTAAGCCTAGCAAGGTGTCACAGTCGATCATCCCATTGCACAGCTTGTAAAGCGAAAAAAAAAACATAGCTTCTCTTCTTCGGTGTTCAAGACTTTTTAGTCCACAAACCAACAGCCTTGTCTCAAGGGAAATGGTGCTTATATAGAAGGTAGGTACTTTGTTAACTTATTTTGAACCCTTTCTATTCTGCTTTTGTAGATAGTGGATTTGGAGGTCCAAATAGTTGAGCAGTATTCTAGTGTGCTACGGACAAGTGAGTAATACAGACAGCATACCTATACTGCTTTGTTATCCATATATTTCAAATTCCTTTTTATAAAACCCAGCATGTCAGAGGAGGAGAAGCAGGACGTTACGTCGTTGATGAAGAGATGAATATGCTTTTCACTTATTATTGGCGTAGCATTATCCATGGAAATTTGGCAGGTTGACCCTCGTATAATAATGATAGTATATGTCAAATTCCAGACAGTTTTAAGTGTGGTTTACATAATTTCGTAAGTGCCGCGGTATCAAAATTTTCTGACCTATCTGGCAATTCAAATTTGACACATTTTTCAATGCATTTTTCAATAATGCTATATTATGAACGGTACCTAACTATTTTGCGTACCTGCAAAATCTAATGACATTTTTTAAAATTCGGCATTGTCAAATTTCTTTCGTATTGAAGATGCCGAAAATAATCTCAGAAGAAAAAAAAAATCGAAATATTAAAATGTAATGGTTATTAAAAAAAAATAAACCAGAGGCTCTCCAGGGAACAATTGAAGCCCAACTTGCAGATATATTTGAGGTAGGTATAACTTAAATGTAGATGTGAATCCATTTCTTACCCAACTAACATTTTCCTTAAATTTTAGGTGGGAACCAGGACTATTCAAAGAATTTTGACTGGACAATATACAATCAAAAAACCTTTAGGCCGACCGAAAAAGACAGATACTATTATGGACCGAATGTTTCAAGAAGATTTACAACGACAAATTTGAAAATACAATTCTAAAAATGAATATTTTACATTACAAACATTACTGACATACGCAAAAGAAAATTTGGAATTTGAGGGAGGGCAAACAAGTTTATATAAAATTTTAAAATCTATGGGATATAAATTTAAAGCAGTAAATGGACGCAAAATTTTATGTCAGCAGAAACATGTTCTTGCTGCCAAAATTACATTTTTGCGGAAATACCTCCAATATAAACATTCAAACGAAAATATCAGATTCGTGTATTTAGATGAAACTTGGATCTACTAAAACGGATCTCAAGTTCGTCGATGGATACACGAATCTGACATGAAAAGCAACCCATCCAAAATTAAGTCAGGGGGGAAACGTTTTACTATTTTGCATGCGGGAAGTAGTTCTGGGTTTTTAAATGGGTGCGATTTTTTTCTAGATTCAAGAAACAATGACAGAGACCACCACAATACCATGAACGCGGACATCTTCCAAAAATGGGTCGTTGATCAACTAATTCCTGCATTGAATTTATTTGAAGAGAAACGTATAATAATCATGGACAACGCTCCATATCATTCAGAGCAGAAGGATAAACCACCTTCATTCTCTTCAAAAAAAGACAAAATGCAGGAATGGTTGGTTAAACATAACGTAGACTTCGACACAAAAATGACCAAAAAACAACTATGGGACCTAACTCAACCATTTCGGAATAGACCAAAACAATACAAAAATGACGACATTTTGAAAAGCCACGGACACGAAGTTCTTAGATTACCTCCTTGTCATTGCCAATATAATCCTATTGAAATGGCATGGGGGTTTTGTAAGAACTTCTATGATAATAGTAGATTATACCACGAGTCAATAATGATAGCTATTATTCCCGAGGATTATTACGAACTGAGCCGCGTTAGCGGCGAGGGAGTAACATTCCGAGGGAATAATAGCCATTATTGCGAGTAGTATACTCTACTTTATTTACGACAAATTAATTTATTTGAGATTTTCAATGAACAAATTTCATCCGTCTCATAATTTTCAATACAAATCCACAAGCACTACACGTTTGACACTGACACTTTTGTGGAATAATGACCATTAATCCCGCTACTCGTCATTAATCCCTGGAGGAATAACATATGTCATTATACTGCCAAAATCACAAATATAATACGCACATTATCCATTAGTCGTAAATAGAATAAATAATTTTACTATTTGAATTTACTCAGATATTATACACATTCTGGCGACTCGGCTTTCTGTTTCATAACCCTGAAATTTGGAAAATATTTTGTCATCAAATGTCATTATTATACGAGGGTCAACCTGTCAAATTTCCATGGCACGCCACTACGCCAATAATAAGTGAAAAGCTAATAGGTACAAGTCCCAGGTGAGATCCTTGACGGACAGGTAACCATTATAGACGGAGAGCCAGCGCCGAAAACAATTTCTGAATTTACTAAAGCCAGCTTTTGGACAGTTGATATGTTATGTACATAAATATAGTGCGGTCAGTCAGGCGAAACTTGAGACAAGGATCTAGGGTGTCTTGTTGAAGTTGTCGACATAACTTATATAGGTAATGCAACGAATTTACTAAGGCTGAAAATCATTATACCTACCTATCTATTATATAGGTATTACACATAAATAACAGTGATGCTAGTCAGTCAGTTAAATAGCGGAACTGTGCTGGTCAGACAAAGTCGAAGATCTCCAGCCCTCTTAGCTTTCAGCGATTCGCTGAAAGTACCTACCCTCTGGTTTTTGTTGTTTTTCCATTTCAAGTTTATTCAACCTTCCCCATTCAAACTGCTACACTCTATGATCCAGATTGATGGCTCACCAACAGAGTTCGCTAGTTACATGTGGTCAAATTATTAATTGAACCTTTAATGTTTTCCCTTTTAATTGAATACCTTTCTTATTTCTAATTACCTATGCTGTCTATTCTTATTTCCTAACTTCTAACCTAGTCGAGTAAATAAAAAAATAGTTCCTTAATTTCTAACCTATTCAAATGAATAAAATATAAGTTCTCTAATTTCTAACCTAATCAAGTAATCATTTCTTCGCTCCACACATACATGCTTCGAATATAATTTTTTCCAGCAACGGTATCAGTTACCTGACATCTGGGTTCATCATAAAACGTTTGTATTCAGAAGATTGTTCTTGACTTTGAATAAATTATTAAAGCCACATGGGATCTGGTTCAGTCGACCGATTAGTTTAAAGTTTAGTGTTTATCTAGGAAAACATAAATTTTGCCTATATATTTGTCAATTTCGGGTTACAGCAATAATAATCTTGAAGCTATAAAATTCGATACTTTTCTGGCTTTCAAGTGATTTTTTATCCTCGAACAGATTAGGTCGTTCGCAGAACTCCATGTGTTTGTAAATCCCATGAGGATCACATTTTAACTATCTATAAAAATTAAGCTTTTTCCCACGAAAGATATACCTACTTGAACCGAGATTATGAATTTACTATTGATTTTGTTACATTAGTGAAATTGTGGGTAGAGAGAACACCAGCCAATCTCACTGGATCCATCCAACTCAAATCCAAAATAGATACGTTGATATATGCTGATTGTAAGTGAAATGCAAATGCCTCAGCAATATCTTCAGGCTTGGTCACTGTTTTCCCGTTATGTAGCATTTGGGCCGGTAGGCCTGAATCCCTTTTGACATTATTGATAAATGACCAAAAGTGATTGATATTTTCAAGAATTAAGTGCTCAGTATTGGTAAGATGAAGTAAGTAACACATATCAGTCATTGCTTTAACTTCTAGTCGGATATTTGAGTAGATATTGTAATCACTTGCAGTCCGGGTATTCATATATCCCTTGTGAGCTTTATTTTTAAGAGCATTGGACCTTCGTAGGTAGGTGCTAAACCATTTTGGATATTTATCAGTTTTTATGGTTTTTTTAAGAGCATATTGATAAATAGCATCATACAGGATGTCATAACACTGGCATATAACACTTTCGAAATTTTCAGTGTTACAAATGAAACTCCAATCAGTGGTACTCAGGTACTGATTTAGGCTGATGTTATCTGCGTGCCGAAATTGATGGACAGTTGATGAGTTATGACTGATTAGCTTATTGATGAACTGGAGGTTCAAAGTAGTTGTTTCGGTAGCCAAAGGCGTAGATATGGGGGGGGGTAGAGGGGGTAATTACCCCCCCCTCCAGGATCTCTATTTTTTTAGGTAAATTTAAAAAATATATTTTGTTAGATGAAAAATATTGGGGCTTCTGGGTTAAGTAAAATATTATTATCAAATAAAAATTCTTTGTTCTTGTTCTTTGTTCTTTGTTCTTTGCAAGTTGTACAGCTAGCTGCTATAATGAGTATAAATTTATTTTTAGATGACTGTATTATCTAGTACTGTATTCTGTTGGTAAAGACCGTGCTGCCCCAGTTCTACACTAACACTTAATCAGTTTAAGTTTAGTACATTCCCAGAAGAACGTGAATCTGGCCATTGATACCATTTTGTCGTTTTTTTTTTTTCGATCTGCGTCCGGCTTA